AGAAGCATCATATCATTCCCAGAGACGAACAAAATCTCACCAGATGGTTACCTCCTCTGCCGGGCTTTCTGAAGCTTAATGTTGACGCTGCTCTGGACAGTAATCGGGCGAAGATGGGCTTCGACTATGTTCTTACAGACGAGTTCGGCAGATTTGTTGCAGCTAAAGGTTCACGAATGTCAAGGACTTACCTTCCAAGAGAAGCTGAAGCAGCGGCGATTAGAGAAGCTTTGAGCTGGCTTAAGGAAAGGAATCTCAGCAATGTTCACGTTGAATCCGACTCTCTTAAAGTTGTCCAATCTCTCAATCATACAAGTGGGGATTCCTCTTTTAGTTTAATTCTTAGAGATATTAAACATCTTTTGAGTGATCTAACTTATGTGTTTATCACCTTTGTAAAACGATCAGCGAATCAGGTTGCTCATTTGTTAGCTAAGCAATATGTTTCTATGCCTGGTTGCTCGGAGCGGTCTTCCAACCCTCCCTCTATCATCTGTAATGCTTTGTCTTTGGACTTAATATAATGTTTTTTCTCCTCAAAAAAAAAAAGTATTTATGATTTGGGGGTTGATTCTTTGACTGCTGAAGGGGCATGCAGGTGGAGGGTGGAGAGAATCTGCTGAAGAAAAGCGTGCGGAAGGACGGAGAAATTTACAGGAAAATACACCGACATTTACTCAATCCGTAACTTTTGCTATGAAATTATATTTTTGCTCCTAATTTTAACCATCAACAAACAAAAAAGTTAACGGGACTAAATTGGTCAAAAATTACATAGTTGATGACTTAATTGGATAATAATGATAGTCGAGAACAACTGAATTGGTAATTACAGTATAGTCGAAGTCTAGGAACCATTTTAGTTATTAACTCTTTTTAAAAATTTATCGTTTTAAAGGCTCCACAGAATTAATAATTGAATACACCCCTAAGATGTTCCATTGGAAAAAAAAAAAAAAAAAAAAAAAAAAAAAAAAAAAAAAGAGAAGTATTCATTATTAATTTAACAATGCATTCTTCCTAAGCGGTACGGTATGCAGTAGACGGTAGAACTCTTCCCAACTCAAACATCTAAGCGATAGACTGTAGAAAGGATACTTCTTCTTCCTCCCCTAATCTCTTTAATTTCTTCCCAAATATTCTTTGATTATATTTCGACTAACCCCAACAAAAGTAGCAACAGCTCCTTCTTAGTTGAGCCTGATATAAGGAGCTAGAGGAGAGGAGTATAGATCTTCTAGTAGTGATGGTGAATTTCTCTCACTAGCTAGCGCACTCATTCTAGTTTCCAATTGAATGGCTAGTTGTGAGCGGATCGAAACCGGATCGGATTTAATAAGTGAACTGCCAGTAGATTTAAAGGAAAGAATTTTGGAGTGTTTGCCCACTCGAGACGTTTCTCAACTCACTGGAAGAATGTTTGGTTGCACCATGGCCGGCTAGCATTCGATTGGGACTTCATCAAATGGGTTCGAGGATGCAAGCTTTATGACGCCAAAAGTGTCGCCAGCATAATTAATAATATTCTCTTGCTCCGTGTTGGACTCCTCAAGAAATTTACTCTGCACATCTCTTGTTTTGGTGTTCAGCCGCCACAGTCTGACATTGATAAGTGGTGTCTTTTTCTATCAAGAAATGGTGTCGGGGAACTTAGCATACGTTCTTTGTGTGGTCCACACCTGAAATATAAACTGCAATTTTGTATAGTCTCATGCCACACAATTAAGCACCTCAAACTTCAAGGTTTTGTTATTGATTTGCCAGTAAATGGTGGTTGTATATTTCCTGGCGTGACTTCATTAGTTTTGGAGCATGTTTACTTTGAGAATAATAATGTTAAAGGAAATGTGGTCTATAGTATTCCTAAACTAGAGAAGCTGGCTTTCAGAGGTTGTGATGGGATTGAGAATGTTGATATAAGTGCTCCAAAACTAACAAGCTTCTCTCAGTTCTGCTCTAGTTCCATACCCAGATGGTTTACTGCTCATTTGGAGGCAATTAAGTATCTTTGCTTGTCAGCTGATTTGTCAGAGGTGATGAGAATCTCTACTTTTCAATTACTTTACTTCATGCCAATGGTCCAACCTTGGTAACCACTCTAACCACAATATATTATGGTTGTCCGTTTGGCCTTTGAATCCTACTTAGGCTGGTGGGCTAAGATGGTAGGACAGTTAAACTATAGGTCTTATTGGTTTGGATCGGTGGATGACCTAGGTCTGTTTATCTTCCACGTGGTTCTTTATCACAACCTAGGGCTTCCAACGATGGACAACCTAAGTCGGTTTACCTTCTTTTGTCACAACTTAGGCTGGCCCGTCATGGACAACCTAGGAGGTTTTACCCTTCTTGTGGTCTTTTATCACAACCTAGGCCTTGCCGGTTTACCCTCCTTTGTCACTAGGGTCAAATGGAATACACTAAGTTGGTTGGATAGTTAGCTTAGTAGCCACAAGCTTTCAATTTTGACTCTCCATAGAATAGACTATTGGCTTTCTTGGTTTGAATTGGTTGCCTATTTCGCCTTCTTGGTTCCACTGACAACCTAGGTTGGGAATACACACATAATAGAGGCAACCCTAACTAAGTTGGTTGGATAGTTAGCTTGGTTTTCAAGGTTCTAAGTTTGACTCTGTAGAGTTGTTTATTGACTTTTCTAGGTTTAATTTGAGCCGGTTGTCCATTTGACTTTCTTAGGTTAATTAAGCCAGTCAACTTCCCCATAAGGTCAAATGAAATATTGATGTTAGGACAATATTATCTAATTTAGTTAGTGGGACAGGTAGCTGGGTAACCGCCCACAAGATTCCTTTGAATTAGATCAGATTACTTAGCTTAATGCAAATGGAATACATACACGCCAGCCCTTAATTGCTATTGATTTAATATAATGGTTTTCAATTCATTCTGACTTGTTAGAGTTCTTTCAAGTTTAAAATTTGCTCTTTATTATTGTTTCTTTTTCAAGACTGCAAAACTTGTCGAAGCAGCACCAACGGCAAGAAATCTGCAAGTAATCAAGTTGTATTGTTTCAGATTTGGTTGTGAGAAGCACTTAAAACTTGCTATACAATTGCTTGAAAAATCCCCCAATTTATGCACACTGGAGATTTCTGCAGAGAAACAGATGAGACATATATGATCCTATATATATATATATATATATATATGTTTGGCTGTCTTGATTTCTTTTTTCTTTTTAGATTTAATTTCGGATTCATTTTTTGCTGAGTTGCAGGAGGAATGGATCGATGACAAAGAAGGTCCATCAAATTTTTTTGACTATCCGGACATTATAAATAAGAATTTGGAGACGCTTAATACGGTAAAGATTGAATGGTTTAAAGGATCCAGACATAAAATGCTTTTCTTGAAAGCATTGCTCTCAAAATCAATTGCACTAAACAAAGTTGTTGTTCAAGAATAATTACGTAATAGGCACAACGCCTTGGCTCTTATCAACTCAAGAAAGTTGTTGGACTTTCCTCGTGCATCTCTAAAAGCACAAATTGTCTTCATGGAGTACAACTTTAACTATAGACTAATTGATCCGCCAGAAATTTAGAAATGAATTCAGATGCTTCAGTTTGGATGCAACATAGAAATGTTTTTTTTTTTTATGGAGTACAATGCAACTTATGACTTTGTGTGATGCTTCATAGTTCTGATATGTGGCGCAGTCTTTAAAATAAATTTGTTTGCTCAATAGATTTTGTAGTAATATATATCATTTAAATTATAGACTAATTGTGCCAAGCACCTTGTGCTTAAATGACACCTGGGTTGGACTCCCATATGAGAGGTTGTGAATTCAAGTCTCATTGGAGGTATTATTGGTTCAAAAAAAAAAAATTATAGACTATTTGTGAAATGGTAACAATTTTTATATATGTTACTAAAGATACGAGAAAAATGTGTAAGCTCCAATGGTAACAATTGTTGATTATAGTTCAAGTTATATATATGTAAATAATATATGTATTATATATATACACACATATGATTTATCATTCTTAGAAATTTAAATAAAATATATAAACAATTAAATTAATTATATACTAATACTGATATTAATAAAATGATAATTAAATGCTCCATAATAGGAAAAAAGCTAAGATATGATATGATAGATATTTACGTGTATGATATGATATTGATAATAATGATGGAGTCATCAATGTTATAATTAAATATTAATGGAGTTATAGCGGTGTAAGGGTATTTTTGTCTAATAAGAATTTAAGAGGGACAATTTTGTCAAATAAAATTGAAGTGTACACCATTTAAAGTAAAATATATATATATTTATTATCATACCAAAAAAACGAACATAAATAAAAAATACAACTTGAATTTAGACTTATTGGTATTAAATTTGAGCATACCCAAATTTGCAAAATTAGGATTTAGGGTTCTATATAAACTGTGGTAATCTGCAATCACAAATTCACAAGTTGTTTAATGCTTGTATAGTTGTATTGTCGAATTTGTTGGCGACCGGGCAACGGATTCATCCTTTGAGCTCCCTGAGGAAGAGGAGGAATTTCACAAAGGGAGGCTTTGAGGGTGGTGGATTGAGTTGTTGAGTGGCAGAATTTCATTCTTTTACTGCCTTCAATCTGAGTTTTCAATTGATTCGTTATTATTTACACTATTGGGATTTCCTCTTCTTTCTTTTTGCTGGTTTAATTATGTGGGGGAGGATTATTGCTGGTTTCAATTGCTTTTATGTGTGTATGTATACATTCTTCTGTCATTCCATTCAATCCCCTGTGGGGGAGGACACTAACTTCATACTCTGATAGAATCTTTAGGGATTAATGTTCAATAGATGTTCATATATAGTGCTATTGAAATTGAATAAAGTGATTTCGATATATGATTTATTTGTGTTTTCTACTCTGCAATTGGGTTCACTAATCCTTTTATATATTCCAATTTAATTACTATCACCAAGTACACATTTTAGGATTTTGTTCTAATTTTAATTTAATTTGAAGTTATGTAAATGATGTCGGGGAGAGATCGAATCAGTCAACTTCCTATAGAAATACTTGACAATATTTTGGGGTTTTTGCCGATCGTAGAAGCTGCTAGAACTACCGTTTTGTCTACCATTTGGAGAGGTTGTTGGTCCAATCTCACACAACTTAACTTCGATGATCAGTTCTTTGCTTGCGTTGGGAAAAAATATTCCGGCAGTTATAATAGCACAACAACTTGTATGTATGTAATCAACAAAGTTCTCATGCGGCACCATGGACCTATTCGGAAATTTGTCTTGGATTTTAAGGGTGACGTATCAATCATTGATGATGGGCCTAATTCTCGAAAGTTTGACTTCGATCAATGGTTCCTTTTTATCACTCAAAAAGGTGTTGAAGAAATGAGCATTGCTTTTCTAGCGACATATGAAATTGATGGAATAAATAAATACTTCATGCTCCCAAATTGCATATTTTCTTGCTTAACTCTCAAGAGGTTGGATCTCAGTGGAGTATTAATTGCCCCAACAATAAATGCCCCTTGCATATTTCCAAATGTCACTTCACTTAGTTTCACCGGTGTTGTCTTTGGTCCTATTACTCTAGATTGTGTTATAGATGTTCCTATGCTTGATACTCTCTCATTCAACCAATGTGAAGATGTGTCATATTTCAACATTAAGGCTCCAAGGCTTGGCAGTTTAACACTCTACAATTATGAAATTGATGACGATATCAAGGTTTATCGTCGTATTACCCCGGTTAACATGGACTTGTCATTTATTCATACTTTTTGTTTGGATTTTAATTTCAAGGTATATTAGCCACAATACTTCATCCTTATTTTTTGCAGACTATTATTTATTTGAAATATATTTTATGAACTAATCTATTTGAATTGTATATCCTTTTTGTTTCCAAGTTTTTTGTCAGCGAACTTACTAGATGGGGACCTGAACTAAATGTGGAATGCATAGAGTTAGCATATGTCGAGTTTCATGGTGATGATGACTTTTCTTCATTTATTCATTCATTACGAATATGCCCAAAATTACGCAAGCTCGATATAATGACTGTATTGGTAATCTTCATTTTCATTGATAAATTATTTAATAAAATTCTAGTTCTATTATTGTTTTGCATTACTTAATACAAGGTTATAGTGTAAAAGATAAATTGATTGAGCTTTTTTTTTTTTTTTTTTTTTTTTTGAAGATTGATGCAGTAATCTCTAAATATACACTTTTTGAGGGATTTAAAAGTGCGGCCAAAATGCTTAAAATGCTTCACACTTTGAAGCTTAGATCATTCAATTGGTCGATGTCTGAATTGCGATTCATCATGATGATACTTGCTTGCTTTCCCGCTCTTGAGAAGGTTGTCATTATTCGTTCGGTGAAGTTTGACTCCAATAATGAATTTAAAATTATGCAAAAGCTTTTAAATTTTCCTCGGGCATCAAGGAAAGCAAAAATCATTTACATATAAGCATCTTATTACATTTTTGCTAAATTGAATTTATGCATCTCCTTGATTCATTCTTTAAGTTCAATATTATGCAATGTACTAATGGTTAGCTCAAGTATCCTTACTAGTTGAATCTTCTAGTACACAACCCTTTTTTGGTTTTGAATTATTCTTATGGTGCTAGCTAGTTATCTACAAATATGCTAAAGGGACCAAAGTTATTTTGTTGTGCTTTATAAATGTACAAGAATTTTTTTTTTTTTCAATAATGATACAATGGCATCATTCCTCCAAGATGAATTGTGTAGAATGCAATAAAAGAAACTGCCAAGGCATGTACATGAAAAGGTTGCTTCTGGCTGCGGATGTGATTGGCGTTAGTACCATTCGCGTTTGGTAACTGTTTTCCTTCCCGTTGTTGACAGGTCAATCTAAAAAAAATGTACATGAAAAGTTTTGAGAGGAATTAATTCAAATTCCTTGTTTATACATGTCATAAAGGCTATTTAATTGCAAAAAATTCCGAACTTTAAGTCTAGTATGATAAGAAACATAGCATTATAGTCTCTAGTAAGCAAATATACTCAAACTACTCAATTGCACACCAAACTACAATTGGGTCATCAAACTAAAAAAGAATGCAAATGGATCCCTGAACAAACGCAAACTCATGCAATTCAACCCAAAATGACTTGTTTGCCTAGTAAGGTGGTTACCGAATTTTAAAAAAAAATTAATAAGTTTAAATTAAAAAAAGTTTTATTAAAAAAAAAAAAAAAAAAAAAAACCTCTGAGAGGCTTCGACAGCCTGAGACGAAGCCACCTTCGTCTCAGGCTGTCTCCATAGCTAGGGAGACGGCCTCAGAGTTGCCTGCGGTGGAGACGAAGGGGCAGCTTCGTCTTGGGCCGTCTGCCCGTCTATGGAGACGGCCTAAGATGAAGCCACCTACATCTCCTCATGAGGCAAAAGAGTTTTTTTTTTATTATTATTATTTTTTATTTTTTTGTTATTTTTCACCATACGTACTAAATTAAATGGTCTTAGTATGGTGTTAAGTATTTTCAAATTTTTATTAATGATGTAATCATCTGGATTTCACATAAGTCTTTCAGCGACATTGATGTCATGAGGATGACATATTAATGATGTTTTGGAGCTTTGAGTCCCTTCACAATCATCCAAAATAAGCTTCTCAAGATATTGTTAAGGGACTCAAATCTCATTTTGAATGATTGTGAAGAGACTCAAAGCTCCAAAACATCGATCATTAATGTGTCCCTCTCATGACATTGAAGCTACTGAAAAACTTATGCGAAATCCAGACCGTTACATCATTAATGAATATATGAAGAATGCTTAACACAATAGATTGATTAATATGAAAGTTTGCACGGTGGGTGGAATTCATTGGCAATTGTTGCGCTTCCCTTATGCATCTTCGAAAGCTCATACTCTTCGTGGGCTGGTGCTCTAGGTGTAGAGTGTGGGTAGATACCCAAACTATTAGGATATATAAAGTATGTCAACATTACTATATGTGGTTGCTTTTCCTATGTGCAAGCCTTCCTTTACTACTTTGATTTACGTTAAATTTGCCGTTACTATTTGAAAGTGTGTAATTGTTGAAGCTCGCCCAGTATCTATGTTATTTAAGTACTCCCATTGTGAAGTTGGGTGAAGGAAAGAACCACGTTTTTTGTAGGGAGATGAGCAAGAGGGTATTCCAAACACATCATTACACACTACTGAACTTATAGTAAAAATTGATGAGATGCATAAAATTAAAATAATTATGGCCCCGTTTGGTAAAAAATTGGCCTATAGGCCAATTTTGGCTTATTTGACCACTATTAATTGTGTGATTTAGTTAAAATATCAATATAAATGTTTAGTTAATTAGCTTTTTGCAACTCCAAAAGGCTAAAATTCAAAAAGTTACTCCAAGCAACTTTTTCAATTAGCTTTTTGAGAAAAGAAATTATACCAAACAGCTATCAGCTAACAGCTAATTGACCAAACACTTTTCTACAATCAGCTAAGGTTATCAACTATTTATACCTTCTAATTAACACAATCAGCTAACAGCTAACAGCTATCAGCTAACAGCCATTTTACCAAACAGGGCCTATTATAAAACAAGGCCTATTATATGTAAACAATTTCTGCTGGCTTTTGAGAGAGGCACGTGGGAAACGTAAGAATTCTTAGATAATTTTAAACTCATAATTAGAGTTAAACATCTAACCTCGAGCAATGACAACCTTCTCAATTCCAATAGTCCAACATAAACTTCAAGTACGTATAATTTTGGGTGAACTCGCAGCAAATGGAATTACTTATATTCTCCGCCCTGCATATGTTGAGAAGCTCAATTCTAGACTTAAATCCTGTGATCTCACAAGCACAAGTGGATACGGATATGATGCATATCAATCCAAGCTGCCATTGGACAATCGTACGTCTTCTTGGATCGGAGATGCAATAAATTTCCTAGTCATCAGTCATCACCCACTATTCATGGGATATGATGCAGTTCAGCAGCCATTATAGGTTTAAAGGAATGGTTTAGTTTTCTCCATGGGAGTGCTAACAGTATCATTCCAATAGTCAAGCATTCTATGCAATAAGAACTAAGAACACACCCCTTATACCAACTACTTACATTCCAGGGAGACATTCTTCAAGTCTACTGCTTAGCAAAATTGTACTTTTGGATATGCACCAGGGAAGCCAACAACTCTCTTGGAATTTTGACTGCCATGAAGGAGTCGAGATCATATGATTCTTGAATAACTTCTTTCTCCGGGGAAAGGGAATTAAAGAGCAGCATTTTCACAAAATAATTTCTAGAGTGGATGCCCTATGACAGTTCAATCTTCAATGTGTTAAGCATCTTTAAATCTTGATCAGTAAGATCCTCCAAAAGTCTTATCTCATTAGATAAACATGTCTACAACTCAACAAGAAATGAAAATTAAGTACAACCATGAGGAAATTAAGAAAAAAGAAAATCATGATTGCCAAATATATACTCTATAAGATCCAGTTTCTTACTCCACATTTAGTGCATAGAGTAATATAAATTACTTAACACGGCAGCTAGCATGGCACAAGAGATCGAGAGCTACGCTTTTATCACCTTTGCATCTTTATGCACACTCTACCAAGCCATGATTGACCTCAATATGCCCGTGGTCCAACCAAACATGGAGTCGTTGTATTCCATGCAAACAATTTGGGCTTTTGTAGATGCACGAGGAAAACGCAACAACTCCCTTAGGCTTTTCATAGCTACGGATGTGTCAATATAACGAGATTCCATAATAACAAGTTTCTCTAGTGCGGGGGATTTTGAGAGCAGCATTTTTACAAAAAGCATTTTCACTGTGGATCCACAAAATGATTCAATCTTGATTGTGTTAAGCATCTTTAGATCCTGAACAATAAAGCAACCATCTGGATCTTCCAAAAGTCTTGAAGCAGCTTCTTTATCACGTTTCTATAACTCAAGAAGAATTAAGAAATGAAAGACATGCACAACTTTGAGGACATTAGAGAAAGAAAAAACAAAAGAATCATATATGCATGATTGCCAAATTAAATGTATACTCAACTTGATGAGCCATAATTCTCAGTTCACATAGGTTGGGGCATTTTTGAAGCAATTGCATAGCATAGGTGAGCTGCTTCTCACAACCAAAACTTAATTCATACAACCCCAGTACTTGGAGATTTATTGCAGTTGCAAACAAAGATGCGTCCATATACTTTAAAGATGGTAATAAAGAAAGAAAAAAATTAGACAGAATTAAGAACTTTAACAAGCCAGAAAGAAGGAAGCCATCCATTTGCATAAAGTAAAATGAGGCAGATTAGATTCTCACCGGCAAGGAAGAGCCACACAACCAAAGAGCCTTAATTGCTTTCAAATGTGGTGTCAACCATCTTGATTCAACCACATTATACACAGAACCACGAACAGACAACATTTCAAGTTTTGAAGCACTGATCTCAAATTTATTAATCCCTCCACAATCACAGAAATCCAGCTTCTCAAGGTTAGGAATACTAATACTAGAGGCAGTTCTATTAACAGTGCGTCGAAATTCAACACATGAGAAAAATAATGCAGTGACATTGGAAAATATACCACAAACATTATTTACCGGCAAATCAATAAAGGGGCCTTCGACACTCAATTGCTTAATTGTCCGGCACGAGAGTATACAAAATGGCAGCTTATATTTAGCCTCTCCATGTTAAGCTCCTCGACACCATTTCTTGATAGAAAAAGACACCAACTATTCAAATCAGACTGCCGATAATAATTTGACATCCCTAGAGTAAATTTCTTAACCGGTCCAGCACGGGAAAGGAGAATTCTATTTATTATGTCAACGAGAGTTCTGCCTTCACCATATTGACCGTGTTGGAGACTATTTGAGAAGTCCCAACCGAATGAAAGCCTCCCATGCTTCAACCAAACATCATTCCAGTGGGTTGAGAGTAGAGCAGTTCTGGCAGCGTCTTGGGTGGGCAAACACTCCAAAATTCTGTGCTTTATCTCTACCGGCAGAGGACTTATTAAATCCCTACTTGCTTCCGCTACGGTGGCTTTGATTAGCCGACGTCGACCCATGCGTCACTCCAAATCAAAACCTAAAATCCTTTCTATTCTTCAACTGTAAATTTAGTATTTCGTAGATAAAATCAAATTAGGAAGCTAAGAGTTGGGGAGAAAACAGAGAGAGTGGAGACGGAGAAACGGCTGAGTCGTAGGCTGAAGGTGCGAAGGATTATATGTTTAACTAGGATTATATTGAACTAGGGTCTAGGATTTTAGGGATTTTATATTATATACTAGTTTTTTACTAGTAGGGATAATGCCCAATGTTTTTTTTTTGGGCCCACACTCCGACCCGACAGAGCAGACAGGATCAAATGCCGGTGCGAACAAGGAATCTGTCCACTTTGGACATAATTCCCGCACTGCCGTCGCCGAGGTTCAAACCTTGGTCTCTTCTCCCAAATACTGCCCACTAAACCATTGAGCTAAGCCCGTGCGGGTTAAATAGGTAATTCTAAATTTACAAATGCAAGATAATATAATCAAGATTGATTATAATTGTCAATAAAATAATTGTATAGGTATGGTTGAAACTAAATACGGGACATAAGGGAGAACAAATAAAAATTATGGCATAAAATATTAAATATATACTAATATTGTTTGAGGAGATTTCGACATTAGGATTTGTGGTTAAGTTCTATTAAGACTTTAATATTAGAATTAGATTAATGGTGTAATTATAATTCTATATTAGACGTTAATATTAGAATTAGACTAACAGTGAATTAACGGTATTTAACGGAAAAGTTAAATGGATAATCATATAATTAAGGATAAATTAGAAAAACTTTAAAAAAAATTAAAACCTGAACAATTTGAACCATTCATTTGATTTAATAATTTGGCGGTCATTTTTTCTACCCAATGTTAATAATTAAATAAATTCGTTGGTCAAATCCGCTAATATAATCAGCTAACTGCTGATTGTCAAACAAGGACATTGCAAGGTAGTTCTCACTTCAATTTGTTGTGTGATCTGAATACTCTCTTTGTCACAAAATCTTCCAAGTAGTTAATATGGTTGACTTTATTAATTATATATTTTTTTTAATTTTTTCATGGTATTAATAAAATACTTGGTAAATAAATATATAGCATTATTTTGTATTATAACTTTGATATTTAATTAGAAAAATAGTGCACAAAAAAGATAATAAACAATATAGTGAATATAATCAATTGATGAATTTGAATGTAAAAATTTTTAAATTTGAGAAAAATAAAGACAATATAACTAATGAAAATATTTCTCTTAATTAATTTATTGATAATGAATAATTTTTTTTCACTGAATTAAGATATTGTAAGGAAATAGTGCACAAAAAAGATAATAAACAATATAGTGAATATAATCAATTGATGAATTTGAATGTAAAAATTTTTAAATTTGAGAAAAATAAAGACAATATAACTAATGAAAATATTTCTCTTAATTAATTTATTGATAATGAATAATTTTTTTTCACTGAATTAAGACATTGTAAGGACAATGTAGCGAATATAATCAATTAATAAATTTGAATATAAAGAATTTTTATATTGTAGAAAAATAAAGACAATATAACTAATACAATTATTTCTCTTATTTAATTTATTGATAATGAATAATTTTTTTTTTTTGAATAAAGGCATTGTGGACACATAATTCTAAATTAAAGAAATGTATATCTATAATTTTTTGTTGTAGCTACTAAATTATTATTTATATAATTTAATAATAGTAAAATAGAGTACTAATTATGCCAACTTTGATTGGGATGAGGTTCGAACCTAAGACCTTTTTTTTTTTTTATTGAAATCAATGAGTAAGTTAACGGTGAACTAACGGCAATTCTTAAAATTTTAACGGAATTAGTAACGGTGTGTGGGTATTTTAGGAAATTTTAGTGTAAAATTTAAATCTTATCAATCTTTTAATCAATATGAGCCATTCATTTGATTAAAATCTGTGACCGCCATTTTTTCTACCCATTATAGGCCTAACTCCCTTGGGATCTTATTATATTATATATATATATATTATATATTATTATATATATATTTATTTGAAAAAAGGGTCAAATAGGCCCTCGAATTTTAGCTTAAAAGTCAATTAGACCCCTAAACTTTTTAAAGGTGCATTTATGGTAAATTATTATGTGAACCATAATAAAAAGTATATTTTTAATATACTAAATGTACATTATTTTTATACTGAATATACATTATATAATATAATGTACACTCAGAACAAAAATAATGTATATCCCCTGAATATAATGTACATTATATTTGTACTGAATGTACATTATTTTTGTACTGAATGTACATTATTTTTACAGTAGACAAAATATGGTCCACACAACTTGTGTGGACCATGGTCTACGCAATAATGATTGTTCAATTACACCCATCAACAATTCATTTATGTGCAATGAAGGCCAAAAACAAGTTAATGACCTGTGATGGATTCAGGCCACCTTTCGACGAATTTTTCTGCAAAAAAAAAGTGACCAGCAACCGACCCAGATTTGTCGAAAATTTCGCCGGTCACTTTTTTGTCGGAAATTTCGCAGGTCACTTTTTTTTTTTTTTTTTTTTTTTTTTTTTTTTTTTTGCCGAAAAATTATCCGGAAGGTGACCTGAACCCTAATGACATGTGATAGCAAGTCATTAATTTGTTTTTTGGGCTTCATTGCACTTAAATGAATTGTTGAAGGGTATAATTGCACCTTTAAAAAGTTTAGGGGCCTAATTGACTTTTAAACTAAAGTTCGAGGGCCTATTGACCCGTTTTCCTATTTATTTTAGATTTAAAATTTTAATTAATTAATAGTTTCGAAGCAAATTAATCATTAACTGAAATTTTATAAAAGTCTCTAACATTAATTGATTTAAAGTATTTTGATTAAAAAATAGTTAATTACTCCCTTCGTCCCATTTTCCCTATCTTACTTTCTTTTTTTGTTCGTCCCAAAATATTGTCTACTTTCCAAAAATAATATCATTATATTTTTTATTTTTACAAGATTGCCCTTTAGACTTTAACCACAATTCCACACAATATTGCCCTCAAAAGTTGTGCCCAGGCCAGCTTAGAGAAGAAGAATAAATAAACTTTTCTTCTTTGTTCTCCTCACTGCCTTTTCGAAATTTCCTCTTCAGAATCCCCATTCATCATCAATATCATCTTCCTCTACTTCTTCTTTTCTTCTCGCAATTAATGGGTTTCAATAGTCGACACCAACATATGCTCTTGCCAAAATTTTATTACTCCCTGAATTGATGACCCCCGTTTCCGTTAGATATGTAAACATCACTATCTTTGATTTTTTAAAAATCTATTTTTATAGTTGAATGCAAATCTGATGGTTTTTAAAAGTATTAAGTTTATTATTATTATTATTATTATTATTATTATTATTATTATTATTATTTTGTATAATTACTAGCCTAGGTGTATAGAGAAGAATTAAAAAAAAATAAAAAAAAAAACAAAAAAAAATGGTTATGAAGCATAAAAGCATTTGTGTGATGAAGATGAAGAAGATGAGATCAAGGAAGAAAAGGAACAGTACGGAAGCCTAGGGTCTAGGATTTTAGGGATTTTATATTATATATTTAATTTTTTATTTAAAATTTTAAATAATTAATAGTTCCCAAGCGAATTAATCATTAACTGAAATTTTATAATATCTCTAACGTTAATTGAATTAAAGTATTTTGATTAAAAAATAATTAATTACAATTTATTGATTTGGTCTATTAATCAAACTTTCATCAAAATTTACACACTCCTACTTAGAATGTTTAAATTAAAGGAATATATTATTATTAATTTTAAAAGGAATAAGGGTCAAATAAGCCACTAAACTGCACACCAAAATGCAATAAGGCCATTGAACTCAAAAACAATGCAATTGGGTCCTTGAACCACACAAAATCATGCAATTAGGTCCAAAATAACATGTTTACCTGAAATGCGGGTTACCAATTTTAAAAATAATTTTTAAATATATTTTAAAATAAAATAATTAATTAAAATTATATAATTTAAATTTTTAAAAAAAAAAAAAAAAAAAAAAAACCTTTCGTCTCCGGCCATGAAGACGAAGAGCTTCGTCTCCCTGGCCATGGAGACATAAGGCTTCGTCTCCATGGCCGGAGACCATCCCTTCGTCTCCGGCCATGGAGACGAAGAGACCTTCGTCTTCATGACTAGGGAGACGAAGCTCTTCGTCTCCGGTAGTTCTAGGTTTTTCTTTTATTATTTTATAATTTTTAATTAATTTATTTATTTAAAATTATATTTAAAATTGATTTTTAAAATTGGTAATCGCCACGTCAGCACAATTTCAGGTCAACATGTCATTTTAGACCTAATTGTATGATTTTGTGTAGTTTAGGGACCCAATTGCATTATTTTTGAGTTGGATGACATAATTACATTTTGATGTGCAGTTCGGTGGCCTATTTGACTCTTATTCCATTTTAAAAATATGATAATTGCTCCTCAATTCTCATCTTAGTTTAAACCTGTGAGGGAAATGGGCACCACGTCCAAAGCCAATTGAATTTGGGGATTTGAGGCCTCTATCTACGTTAAAGTTTAATTTATTTAACTTCTCTCGGAAAGGTTGAATCAACAACCCTAAGGGCAGTTTAATTTATTTAACTAATAATATAGCATACCTATCAACAGGGACGGAGCCAGAGGGGGGCCATGGGGGTCAGCTGCCCCCCCTCACCCCACCTCCGCCCCCATATATAATATGTATATGTATATATGTATATATAGTATATGTTTTAGTATTAGTATAAAAAAAACTAATAAGTGTTAACAAGTATGTAGTTAGATTAGTTGGTAGAGCATATTTATGGTAATAGGAAAGGTTTTGGGTTTGAAACCTTGCATTAGCATATTTTGATATATATATATATATATATATATATATATATATATACACTAGCATTTTGTACGCGTGATGCACGAAAATTCATGCCCAATATTAAAACATTGATAAATACAAATAATTAAAAATTATAATTTGAATTATATATACACAAATAATATATGTATTTTGTACACACACATATATAATTTATCAT